CCTGTTTCGAGCATCACTTCGAACTTACAATCACTTTGTCTCCCAGCCAGTTTTTTCCTCTTCCTCATCTTATTTTCAAGGAATAGGTCTTTCTAGCATAAAATTAGCACAACCCTTGTATCGTACGGAAGCGACCATGATTGAAGGTCAGCCGAAAACATGAAGTTTTGCAAAATTTTGAGGCAGTCAATCGATTCTTCGAACCCCGAGTGGGCTCCATTTTGGATAAATTACGAACTATTCGAGGTACGAGCTGGACGCCTCTTTCGATCAGCATTAAGATGCAAATACTATTATTCTGAGACGCAATTAAAACTAAATACCATGCTTTTTTGTTTTCCTAGAATATAATCAAAGATCTTCCCGCCGTGGTATCCATTCATACAAATGAGATTGGCAACTGCAAGTTCATCGTCAAAAATCCTAAGGAGGTCGAATTCTTCAAACAGTTGCATGCCGAATTGAAGAAAGTCTCTATTTTCTTTACGAAAGCAAAGAAAGAAATCAAGATAAGATTCGCCCGTGTTCAAGACGGAATTAAGATTATTCACGAATCCGACCACGTAACTACGGCTCAAGATAAATGGATGTTGTCGGCAAGGAGCGCATTCAAACTTCACAACAATCTCTTGTCRCTTGAAACCTTCGCAATCATAAATTATTGTGCCTTTTCAAAAATTCTAAATAARCACGACCAGAAAACAGGATACAGAACCAAAATGGCATTCATGGAAAATGTTGTGAGCCAATCAAGTTTTGCAGTATATCCTGATCTCCTTGACATGATTCAATGTTGCGAGGCATTCCATGATCAGGTCTCGAAGAACATTGGTCGCGAAGAAASCCACAAACTCGGTATGGTTGGTACGTTGCACGCTCCTCTATCAGTAACGAAGGAAGGCGTTACCTTTGGCAAATTCCAGATTCTTGAAACAGAAATTGCACCTATTWGTAACGTAGAAATGAACGATACCAAGACAGATGCCGGGTTCGGCAAGAGGAGCTTCGCCCAGATGCTTGCAACAGAGATTGCAGCGATCAAGAAAGAGGGTAAACATACTGATGCAGGAATCAAAACATTCGCGAGGACTATAACGGAAGGGATCGGAAGACTTCGCAAGGTATCCGAAGATTCTACAGCACTTGAAAACTACATTCTAGGCTATGGAAAAATGCCAAAGAAAAGCGAGTGCCGCACTGTCGACTACGAACGGCACCATCTACAGAATCGACTTGTTGGGACGGTTATCGGGCATGCAAAGAAACAACGACTAAATTAGTAGAAAGAACTAGATCAATACTATTATTCTTCAATTGTGGAATCTACTTTTGTTGTACCTCATGAGGACTTGGAACTTCTTCGCATAGAAAAAGTAACGCAGAAAGCTTGTCCATGTTATTGCGTCATGCGCATTTGTTCGCTGGATTGATAGGTCCTACCACTCCGATTGTACTATCCAAACATATTCTGCTTCCAACTTTTATGTCATTGTAATAGACGAATGCGAAATGAACCAAAGGTACCTGCTTCATAGAGTTCAAACGATGTAATACAATGTATCAATCTATATCGACACAAAAGCAACGAGTCGTGCTCATTGAGACCCGATACATCCGACAATGACAGATTATCGCTCGATGGGTTACTAGAGGAGCGGGCTCGAGATAATCATGCGATATTTGTGGATCAAAATGCTTTCGAACCCATCTGTCGGACGCRAMAAGTTCGTTGCCCCTTACCAGGCCGTGGATGGTTTAGATTCCGGATCCAAAATCTTCTTGGACTTCAGCATTCATGGTGATTTCGTGTGGTGCCTCCTCCTTTTCCTTTGGTGCCGCGAGCGACAGTTTCCAGCCACACCACGAGTTCTTGATCCATGTTGTGTATTTTTCCGTCCCTCCGTGCTCTCGTTCCTGGCGGTCTTCGAGGTTGCTGGTGGCGCGGAGGAGGACAAAGAGCATCCCCGACGATCCCAGGACCGAGAGCCCGAGCTGCCCCAGAATCGCGGGTGAAAGCCCGCTCCGTAGGAGGTACGCCCCCGCCAGGGTTCCGCAGAGCGCGTTGGCGGTCCACGACAGCACCTCGCCCGTGAAGTTGGGGTGGCGGAGGACGGAAAAGACCCCCGAGGTGACGAGGAATTTCCCGTTCTTCTCGGATCCCTTGACGTAGGACTTGGTTAGGTCCCCCACTGCGGCTAGAAGGTACCCAAACCACTGAAGGCCCACCAGAACCTTCATGGCGGCCACGGCGACCACGGGCGTCGCGGCGACTGCCCGGGCATTACTGGCAAACAACCTGGTGGTCAGGAGGACCGGGACGTACAACCCATAGAACAGCAACCCGCACGAGAGAACAAAGGGTGCCCGCGAGAGGCGGGTCGCATATCGTTCTTTCGACTTCTTTTCGATCTCGTCCCCAATGGCTCGGTAGGTTGGGCTGAGTCGGTTGCGGAGGAACAGAAAGGCGTTCAACCGGAATCCGTAAAACACCAGGGCCGCGGCGTGCAGGCTCGCGAGGTTCCAAACTCCAGGCGATTGTTTCAGGAGCAGCGAGCCGGCACTCAGGGCGGTAGCAAAGCCGTACCCGTAGGATACCGTCCATTCCGACTTGACGAATCCCATCGCGGGCGGAAGAAAGCTGGTCAGGACATCGGTGGGCACGGGAATCGCACCCAGCGACGAAGGGGAAGCCCTTTTCGCACCACGGAGTCGTTGTGACGGAGGTATCGGCCTAGACGGATCGCGATGCACCATGTTCGAAGATGGGAAGGGTAGAAACGGTGACGACAGAGCCGAAAAAYGTACTGGAGCAGGCACAGCTACCGCATTCCGCGAGGCCTGAAAGCTAAACGAAGCTTTGGGGCCCCAACAAACGGCGATCCCGGCGAGGAAGATAGCGGAGATGCTTTTCATGATGTACTCAATACGTATGGTAGGATGCGCTTGTTATGTTCTTCCGGTCGAACTGGGTAAAGAACACCGCTAGATACTATTTCTTTTGGTGGTTTGTTTTGTTTGAAGTGGCAAGATTGGAGGTGCCAGATTTGAACAATATGGAACACCAAACAAAGGCAATAACAAACGAACAAACCCATTCTCGATGTACCGTGACACCTCGACTGACGCCCTGGGAAGCAAAAATAGACTAAAATAGCTTTTACAAACGTGAGTGAGTGAGTCAGGGGTTCGTCAGTATGCGGAAAAAGAAACTACGCCAAAATAAAGCTCGTACGACTAGTACGAGTATTAGTACGTATGGGTAGAGTAGGGGTATGGAACCAGAACCTCTGCCTGTACAGAACGTACTGGTACCCTACGAACGTCCACAAAAATCAAAAATGCTTCTGACTTCTGATGGGACGGGTGATGGGCAAAACCAGAAAGAGTGAGTCCGGTGCATCGANCCTGTTTCGAGCATCACTTCGAACTTACAATCACTTTGTCTCCCAGCCAGTTTTTTCCTCTTCCTCATCTTATTTTCAAGGAATAGGTCTTTCTAGCATAAAATTAGCACAACCCTTGTATCGTACGGAAGCGACCATGATTGAAGGTCAGCCGAAAACATGAAGTTTTGCAAAATTTTGAGGCAGTCAATCGATTCTTCGAACCCCGAGTGGGCTCCATTTTGGATAAATTACGAACTATTCGAGGTACGAGCTGGACGCCTCTTTCGATCAGCATTAAGATGCAAATACTATTATTCTGAGACGCAATTAAAACTAAATACCATGCTTTTTTGTTTTCCTAGAATATAATCAAAGATCTTCCCGCCGTGGTATCCATTCATACAAATGAGATTGGCAACTGCAAGTTCATCGTCAAAAATCCTAAGGAGGTCGAATTCTTCAAACAGTTGCATGCCGAATTGAAGAAAGTCTCTATTTTCTTTACGAAAGCAAAGAAAGAAATCAAGATAAGATTCGCCCGTGTTCAAGACGGAATTAAGATTATTCACGAATCCGACCACGTAACTACGGCTCAAGATAAATGGATGTTGTCGGCAAGGAGCGCATTCAAACTTCACAACAATCTCTTGTCRCTTGAAACCTTCGCAATCATAAATTATTGTGCCTTTTCAAAAATTCTAAATAARCACGACCAGAAAACAGGATACAGAACCAAAATGGCATTCATGGAAAATGTTGTGAGCCAATCAAGTTTTGCAGTATATCCTGATCTCCTTGACATGATTCAATGTTGCGAGGCATTCCATGATCAGGTCTCGAAGAACATTGGTCGCGAAGAAASCCACAAACTCGGTATGGTTGGTACGTTGCACGCTCCTCTATCAGTAACGAAGGAAGGCGTTACCTTTGGCAAATTCCAGATTCTTGAAACAGAAATTGCACCTATTWGTAACGTAGAAATGAACGATACCAAGACAGATGCCGGGTTCGGCAAGAGGAGCTTCGCCCAGATGCTTGCAACAGAGATTGCAGCGATCAAGAAAGAGGGTAAACATACTGATGCAGGAATCAAAACATTCGCGAGGACTATAACGGAAGGGATCGGAAGACTTCGCAAGGTATCCGAAGATTCTACAGCACTTGAAAACTACATTCTAGGCTATGGAAAAATGCCAAAGAAAAGCGAGTGCCGCACTGTCGACTACGAACGGCACCATCTACAGAATCGACTTGTTGGGACGGTTATCCGGCATGCAAAGAAACAACGACTAAATTAGGAGAAAGAACTAGATCAATACTATTATTCTTCAATTGTGGAATCTACTTTTGTTGTACCTCATGAGGACTTCGAACTTCTTCGCATAGAAAAGGTAACGCAGAAAGCTTAGTCCATGTTATTGCGTCATGCGCATTTGTTCGCTGGATTGATAGGTCCTACCACTCCGATTGTACTATCCAAACATATTCTGCTTCCAACTTTTATGTCATTGTAATAGACGAATGCGAAATGAACCAAAGGTACCTGCTTCATAGAGTTCAAACGATGTAATACAATGTATCAATCTATATCGACACAAAAGCAACGAGTCGTGCTCATTGAGACCCGATACATCCGACAATGACAGATTATCGCTCGATGGGTTACTAGAGGAGCGGGCTCGAGATAATCATGCGATATTTGTGGATCAAAATGCTTTCGAACCCATCTGTCGGACGCRAMAAGTTCGTTGCCCCTTACCAGGCCGTGGATGGTTTAGATTCCGGATCCAAAATCTTCTTGGACTTCAGCATTCATGGTGATTTCGTGTGGTGCCTCCTCCTTTTCCTTTGGTGCCGCGAGCGACAGTTTCCAGCCACACCACGAGTTCTTGATCCATGTTGTGTATTTTTCCGTCCCTCCGTGCTCTCGTTCCTGGCGGTCTTCGAGGTTGCTGGTGGCGCGGAGGAGGACAAAGAGCATCCCCGACGAYCCCAGGACCGAGAGCCCGAGCTGCCCCAGAATCGCGGGTGAAAGCCCGCTCCGTAGGAGGTACGCCCCCGCCAGGGTTCCGCAGAGCGCGTTGGCGGTCCACGACAGCACCTCGCCCGTGAAGTTGGGGTGGCGGAGGACGGAAAAGACCCCCGAGGTGACGAGGAATTTCCCGTTCTTCTCGGATCCCTTGACGTAGGACTTGGTTAGGTCCCCCACTGCGGCTAGGAGGTACCCAAACCACTGAAGGCCCACCAGAACCTTCATGGCGGCCACGGCGACCACGGGCGTCGCGGCGACTGCCCGGGCATTACTGGCAAACAACCTGGTGGTCAGGAGGACCGGGACGTACAACCCATAGAACAGCAACCCGCACGAGAGAACAAAGGGTGCCCGCGAGAGGCGGGTCGCATATCGTTCTTTCGACTTCTTTTCGATCTCGTCCCCAATGGCTCGGTAGGTTGGGCTGAGTCGGTTGCGGAGGAACAGAAAGGCGTTCAACCGGAATCCGTAAAACACCAGGGCCGCGGCGTGCAGGCTCGCGAGGTTCCAAACTCCAGGCGATTGTTTCAGGAGCAGCGAGCCGGCACTCAGGGCGGTAGCAAAGCCGTACCCGTAGGATACCGTCCATTCCGACTTGACGAATCCCATCGCGGGCGGAAGAAAGCTGGTCAGGACATCGGTGGGCACGGGAATCGCACCCAGCGACGAAGGGGAAGCCCTTTTCGCACCACGGAGTCGTTGTGACGGAGGTATCGGCCTAGACGGATCGCGATGCACCATGTTCGAAGATGGGAAGGGTAGAAACGGTGACGACAGAGCCGAAAAAYGTACTGGAGCAGGCACAGCTACCGCATTCCGCGAGGCCTGAAAGCTAAACGAAGCTTTGGGGCCCCAACAAACGGCGATCCCGGCGAGGAAGATAGCGGAGATGCTTYTCATGATGTACTCAATACGTATGGTAGGATGCGCTTGTTATGTTCTTCCGGTCGAACTGGGTAAAGAACACCGCTAGATACTATTTCTTTTGGTGGTTTGTTTTGTTTGAAGTGGCAAGATTGGAGGTGCCAGATTTGAACAATATGGAACACCAAACAAAGGCAATAACAAACRAACAAACCCATTCTCGATGTACCGTGACACCTCGACTGACGCCCTGGGAAGCAAAAATAGACTAAAATAGCTTTTACAAACGTGAGTGAGTGAGTCAGGGGTTCGTCAGTATGCGGAAAAAGAAACTACGCCAAAATAAATCTCGTACGACTACCGGTAGTACGAGTATTAGTACGTATGAGTAGAGTAGGGGTATGTAACCAGAACCTCTGCCTGTACAGAACGTAATGGTACGTACCCTACGAACGTCCACAAAAATCAAAAATGCTTCTGACTTCTGATGGGACGGGTGATGGGCAAAACCAGAAAGAGTGAGTCCGGTGCATCGAAGCCAAAAGTTAGTTCATGTACCGGACGGTATGCTGCAATAAACTGGCCGACACAATACAATTGATTCCGAAACAATTTGCTTGCTTCCGATTCAATCGAATTCCGCCCTAGACGCACCGTACGTACAACATAATATCACACTTTCAACCATGCTGAGCTCGTCTTTGACGGCGGTGTCCCGGAGGGTATCCTCTCGCGTGGCGACGGGGGGATCCCCTATGGCGTCGACAGCCACGGCGACCGTATCGACGGTGTCCGCTATGTGCGAAAGGATTCAGAACAGCGGCAACATTTCCTGCCACCTGAGGTCTTCTCGCCGTTGCCCCCAACGCCAACGACAGAGTGGTCGTCGGTGTYTTGGAACCTCTGGGAAAAACAAAAAGCGAGCGATGATGCGGCAGAAAAAACTAAACCCATCSTCCACGTCTACATCCACGCTGTCATCGGCGTCGATAGACAGTGGCGAACAGCCCACGAATTATGGCGACGAATACCTTTCTTCCTCGCGGATTATTTCCGATCCAGCGATAACAACTTCCAGCGGAACCTTCGATCGCACCGCGGGATTGTCAAAACTACAACTTCGGCCCAGTCTCGACGACTACTTGGAAAAATACGGGCTCGACGCCGAAAGCCACCACAACAGCAGCAGTAGTGTCAATGCYAACATSAGTACCACTGCTCCGACCTGGGAATCCAACAAGGGGATGCTGCCTCCACCCTCGTTGGGCGGAACCAACGCCGCCAGCGGTAGCCGGCTGCTCCGGAGCAGCAGCACCCTGGCCACGGGGGAACGACAGAATCGCAACGTCCTCAACGACGCCGACGACGACGGCTTTCTCGTCGACCGGGATTCCATGTTCGATCCGAGCATACACCTGCCGCATGCCCCGAAAGACTGGAAGGGATACGAGCCCTCCACACCCCTGTCCGAATTCCTCATGCAGCGAATCGGGGTTTCGGGGCAGCCCATTTCGACCGCCGAGTACATGCGCCACGCACTGACGCATCCGCTCTACGGATACTACACGGCGAAGGACCGCCARGAAGAAACTGCAGACGACTGGGACGACGACTACAGCGACGACGACGATGCCGAAAAAGGKCCCGCGCARGGCCGCTCGAGCATTTTCGGCCGCGGGGGAGACTTTGTAACGGCACCRGAGCTCTCGAGTGTCTTTGGCCACTCGCTCTGCGTTTGGTTTATGACYCTGTGGCAACAGGAACCCATGGGAAAACCGCAAGACATTCAGTTCGTGGAGCTCGGGCCCGGCAGGGGGACGCTCATGGCAGATTTGCTGGAACTCGCGCACTCGTCGAAACTCATGGATTTCGGGCAGGCGATYCGGACCGTGCATCTAGTGGAAGCCTCGCACGAGCTGAGGCRCGAACAAAGGTCAACGCTTACGAAGGCCCTGAGCCACCTGATCCGRCTGGAATTCGCCGAAGACGACGGAGGTGAAAGCGAACCAAGCAGCGAGGGTGCAAGCGAGGACTCATCGAAGGACAACAGTACTAGTACCAACRACGACGGCAAGACGTTCGTCAATACGATTCGGATCGAGTGGCACGACGACTTTTCGTCCTTCCAGTCCAAACGCGATAAAAGYATGCCAACCATGGTACTGATGCAGGAGTTTCTGGACGCACTGCCCGTCCATCAATTTCAGAAAACAGAAGATGGCTGGCGTGAACGGATGATCGATGTAGTGTCGGTCGACGAGACCAACGAAGCGGGGGTTCCCRTTCCAAAGACACAGGCATCGAATCAAAACAACAGCGATGGAGAGGACGGCCCGCAACTCATTCCTCGTCTGCGACAGGTCTTGGCTCCCAATATTMCCCCCGCCGTAGATCTGTTGCTGTCCTCCAGCTACGACCAATACGCCCATTTCCCCGAWGGAACCGTGGTCGAAATCTGTCCGGACGGTCTCTTCTTGATTCAAGATGTTGCCAAGRTTCTGGAAGAGAGCCAGGGAGCAGCACTGATCATCGACTACGGAGAAGAAGGGACGACRGATACCTTGCGTGCCTTTTCCCGTCACCAACAGGTACCGCTGACCTCACGACCCGGACAGGTAGATGTCACCGCCGAYGTGGATTTCTTTGCGATCAAAAATTGCCTCTCCGTGGATGCCTTTAAGAAAAACAAGGGTCATTCTTCCACCGAAAATACCGATGTCGATGTAAACGAAACGGTGCCGTCCTCGATCCACGCCTTCGGTCCGGTTCCACAGGGCGAATTTCTGATGAAAATGGGAGCGGGGGAACTCACCATGAACGCCATCGAAAAGGACGAGACGACAGAGGAACAAGCACAGGCGCTAGCGGATGCCCTCAAGTACCTGGTGATGCCCGAACACATGGGGCAGAAATTTAAGGTCCTCGCCTTGTCTCGAAAACGAGACGGACTTTTTGGACCGGCTGGAATGGAATAAATTTAAGCTAAACAATAGGAGATAATATGCTTGAAATCAAATCGRCCAAACAACATTTCCATTTGTGTATCGGATGCGACCCGTATGCCTTGGAGGAATCAAATCCGTGTGATCCGCGCCACTTTTCTAGTCCCTTCCAAACTTCATTAAGAGCTGCCTTWTTACTCCTATTTAAATGTCATGCGAACGCTTTGGTACCTCGTACGCGTACTGTACGAGTACCCTACTCATATTTTTTGTATGATTAGTTTTTCATTTAGTTTTCTACATCATTTCTTCGCGACGCCGAGGAGCGCACTTGATAATATCGTCTACCCGCAACAACATTTCTGCCGCCTCGCTGGCGCTTGTCACCACCTGTAACTTGCTTTTGAAGGCTTCCATAATTCCCAATTCCGCCATGTCTCCGATCGTTCCGTTGTTCATGTCCAGCCCGTAACTCGTCTTGCCCGCCGCATGGGCTGCACGGAGCTGCGTTACCAGTTCGGCCGCGTCGTACCCACCGTTGTCGGCCACGGTCATGGGCAACTGCAACAGGGCCTTGGCAAAGGAGGCCATGGCGATGGCCTTCTTCCCGGGTGTTTCCTTGGCGGCCTTGTCGATGGCCTGGGCCATAGCGACCTCGGTACATCCTCCACCGTAGATTCGTTTTGGGTGCTTCAGGGTGGCCGCCAGAATACAGAGCGCGTCGTGGATGGACCGTTCCGCCTCGTCGATGATGTGATTGCTGCTTCCCCGCAAGACGATGGTACAGGCGGCACCCGATTTACAGCCTCCGAGTCGAATGACCTTGGTTTCCCCGATCATTACCTATTGTAAGAGGATGCGCGCGTGTGTTTCAAAGCAGGGCGACTAAAAGTGAGACAAGGGAGAGCAAAAGARAGTCGTGGCAAAAGGCAGACACCCAAAAAGCAAATGGCAAATCGCAAATCGCAAATCGAACGAAAACCTACCTCTTCAATGACGTCGCAGTATCCCAACTGGACCTTGTCGGGATTGTCGAAGGTACTGCAGACCTGGCCACCCGTGACGGCCGCCAGCCGTTCGATGCCGTCAAAGTCAGCATGTTCAATGGCCATCATGCCCGCAGCCGCAAACAGGGATTCGGGGTAGTTGTAGATGAGCTGTCGGTTGATGAACACGTTGCAGTCGTGCGCAATGATTTTGTCGACCTTGCGTTTCATCTTGAGCTTCTCTGCCTGCTCGATTTCGGCGACCTTGTTGAGGGAGTCAACCTGCACACGGGAACCGTATATCTTAATTTTGTCCGTGTCCATGCTGGTGTTGGCCAGCAATATGTTGCACTTTTCGAGGCGCTTGGGCTGGCCGACCCCGATGGATTTCTCGAGGAGGAATCCCTCTTCCAGGTACGAGCTTCGCAGAGATCCACCCGGGAGTTTGATGATTTGAATGTGGTCCAGGTTGCCGCTTCCCTCGAGCCGTTTGACGGCAGACACACACAATTTTGCAAARTATTCCTTCTCGCTGTTCACGAGTTTGCTAGAGAGCGTCGTCATGGCGATCTTGAACAGATCGTCATCGGTGATGCCGTCGGTCGACATGGATTCGAGGGTTTCCCGGGCAACCTTTGTGGCCAAYCTCCATCCCGCGCAGATCGTCTGGGGGTGGATTCGTGCCTGCAGGAGCATTTGCTCGGCCTCTCTCAAGAGCTCTCCGCAAAAGACGGCAACACTCGTGGTACCGTCTCCGACCTCTTGGTCCTGGACCTTTGCGACGTCGACCAAKACCTTGGCGGCGGCATTGTCGAGAGGAACTTTGCTCAAGATGGTAGCTCCGTCGTTGGTAACCGAAATCGATTGGTCGTTTGGATCAATGGATTGCAAGATCTTGTCCATACCCTTTGGACCGAGCGTGGTTTTGACTAGATCGGAAATGGCCATGGCCCCGATCAACGATGACAAACGGGCATTGGCACCCTATCGTGGGGCGATAAATTTGTCGACGTTAACATTGGGGTTTCATTTGTTGCGTAGTGTTCGGTGTGTGGACGAAGTTGGATGGYGTGATCGCATTTCATGGTTGTCGCATAACGTTGCAATTSCAAGACCAGTGGCATTGGCGAAATTCGTTTGCATCGTGTGTTTCACAAAATCATAAAAYGCATTCGACAAGAACAAAAAGAATGCCACAAAAGTGCAGGCAAAAGAAGCAGAATCAAATGCACGGGAGAGTCGCAGTGGTTTTAGACAATATCGTGAAACATAATTACAGCGCCGTGTTATCAATCACATTCGACGGGTGYATTTAACGATACCACACCGGCAGCAGCCATTTGCTCCGGACACCATTGTTACATCCCGTTGGAACGGCAAGCAAGCCTGCTGCTCCACTCCGACTCATGCAGTTGCTCACCTTTTCGACTTCTACTCCTTCTGACAAATATGCGGTCTCCATCGTTTCAATTTATTTGTCTTACTAACGGTGTCTCGATTCGATCCGCTGCTCTGTTCGATCTCAACTCTAGTTTCCCGGAATGGATGACAGAGATCGTAATAAAGTTGCTACTAGTCGTTACATGGTGGTGGCAGTTTCTCGGGACCGCTCTCTACCCGTGCAAATCAGTATGTACRGGTACGAGTACCTTACTGGTAGGTTCTGTAGTAGAATGCGGAGGGATTGAATGCTACCAGTCGCAATGAATTCATTCAAATGATGCGTGATCAGAAAAAATGCCGGGGCGTCTGTCTGTATCTCTGATCTCAGTAATTCTAAAAAGGGGGATACACCTGTAGATGAACATATACACTGTGCACTAAAATTACTCCCCTAAATATTTTATTTTTTTCGGGTCGGAGTGAGAAATGGAAGTCAAGGAAGAAACAAAAAGCGTCCTGACAGTAAGTGCCGGTACGTACGAGTACCTACGTACTGGTACAGGAAACTGAGATCTCTCAAAGTGCCAAGAGAGCGAAGCGCTTCACGCTTCGTGCTTCATTAGCACTTTTCGAGAACCAATGCGAGATCGACCGCAACGCCATCGTAACATAGCATTGTGCAACAGGTCCACCATACGAAGACATGCACTCCAGCAGCYAAAAGAAATAGATTGTAGAGAAGAAAACACCAAACGACCAACATGGGAGAACTGGAACAACTCGCAAAATGGATCGAGGACGGCAAGGCAAAGAACATTATTGTTTTGTGCGGAGCCGGCGTCTCGACGGGTAAGATGCCGTGTGATTCGATTCGATTCGATTCGATTCGATTCGATTCGATTCGATTCGATTCGATTCGATAGGAGCCAATCGATTTGTTTTCCAGTCATGTTTTGTGATGGGAACTGGATCGAACTGGATCGAACTGGATCCAACTGTCACCGTCGATCGGGGCGGGTTGTGTCCAGTGTTCGTTCCAACTGCAATCCACACAGGCAGAAAACTATCTAATCTCAATTTTCTGCAAAAACGCTCTGTCGCATCGTCTTCTCTGAACTACACTGTACTCCAGGAGCGGGAATCCCCGACTTTCGAAGCCCCGGAACCGGGCTATACGACAATCTTCAAAAATACAACCTTCCATACCCCCATGCAATTTTCGAGGTGAATTACTACCGAAGGAACCCAGGTGCCTTTGTCTCGCTGGCCMACGAGCTGTGGCCCGGGATCAAGTTCCGGCCCACACTCACGCACCACTTCCTCAAGCTCCTTGCCGACAAGGGCTTGCTGCTCCGCATCTACTCCCAAAACATCGACGGGCTGGAGTTTCTGGCGGGGATCCCCGACGACAAGCTGGTGGAATGCCACGGGCACTTCCGAACAGCCTCKTGCATCGATTGCCACGCCACCGCGGACGCCGCGGAGGTCCGGGTCACCATTGTGGACCGCGCGGAAACKCCCAAGTGCTCGAAGTGTGGGGGCAACGTGAAACCGGACATTGTGTTTTTTGGGGAGGACCTGCCGGACCGCTTCCACAAGCTCGTCAAGAAGGACATGCCCAAGGCGGACCTGTTGCTGGTGATGGGGACCTCCCTGCAGGTGGCGCCTGTTTCGATGATCCCCAATATGGTAAGGTGCAACCGGGTGCTCTTCAATAGAGATAAGGTCATGACGATTCGCAAAAAGAAGGATCTCTTTGTCCCGGGGGACTGCGACAGCAACATCCAGGCGTTGCTCGATCTGCTTGGCTGGACCATTGATGGCAACGACGASGASGAGGAGGAGGAGAAAGAGGAAMCAACAACACCAAGCGCCGAGGCAAAAGACGAAGACGAACTCGAAAAAATGTTTGGTAAAATCCAAATTGCAGAAAAGGAGGAAGGACAAAACAARGAGTAAAACAATTATATGGCCAAGGATTGGTCCGAGAGGAGATTTTGGAAACATGGCAAGCAGCTTCCAACGATTCTCGACCWGATTCTTTGGAATCCAWCCACATTACCTCGAGCCGTCGTCGGTGGCATTGCTGTTTTTTGAATCGATCCATCACGGCGTCCTTTTAAGTGTGAAAGAATCGGTCGCGGAAGGGAAACCTCGGTAAATCCACTCCTTTCAAAAGACTGTGGTCTTGATCGAGGACATGGTGGTACAGTACGATGAATGTAGAATCAACCTGAATAAGTATCATAGTGGCCGTTCTGGCCTTGACAGTCAGACAAACACGCGAGGGACAAAGGTGTTTTTCAACCCCGATGGTGGGTCGAACGTCGACCACAACGATCTCRCGTACAAACGTGGCGTTGAGCCAAACGAAGCAAAGMAGGGGTTCGAAATTTTATACGCAAGGAATTGTCAGATGTAACTAGTGCCGCTAAATGAAAATGTAAATATAGTCCTGAAAGAGTTAGATGTATTGGAATGTCCAAGTATTGAACGATGCATTAGAAATAGGACGGTCGCACACTAGACATT